TATTGTTTTATTGTGGTGAAATATACATAACAAAAGTTACCATCTTAACTGCTTGTAAGTGTACAATTTAGTAGCATTAAATACATTCACCTTGTTGTGCAACTATCAGCATCATCCAACTCCAGAACATTTTCCGTCTCCCCAAACTGAAATTCAGTACCCATTAAACAACACCCCATTTCCCCCTTCCCATCCCCTGGAAACCACTGTTCTACTTTGCATCTCTATGAATTTGACTACTCTAGCTACCTCACAGAGTGAACCATACAATATCCCGTGTCCAATTTATTTCACTTGGCATAATGTCTTCAGGGTCTCATCTATGTTGTTCCAGGCTGAGTAATCTTACAGTGTATGGATATACCACATTTTGTCTGTTGATGGACAGTTAATGGACACTTGGACTGTTTCCACCTTTGGCTGTTGTGAATAATGCTTAACATTTATGTATCAGTATCTGTTTGAGTCCCCGATTTCAGTTCTTTTGGGTAAATACTCAGAAGTAGAATTACTGGATCATGTGACAATTTTATTTTCCACAGCAGCTTTTTACATTCCCGGTGCCTGAGGGTTCCAATTTCTCTACATCCTCATCAACACTTATTTCCTTTTTATTATTTTTTAAGCTAGCCATCCTAATGAGTGTGAAGTTGTATCTCATTGTGGTTTTGATTTGCATTTTCCTAGTGATTAGTGTTGTTGAGCATCTTTTCATGTGCTTATTAGCCATCTGTATGTCCTCTTTCGAGAAATGTCTATTCAAGTCCTTTCTTTGCCCATTTTAAAATTGTTTTTGTTGTTCTTGAGTTGTGAAAGTTTTAAAATATATTCTGAATATTAATCCCTTATCAGATACATGATTTTCAAATATTTTCTCCTATTCCATGGGCTTCCCTTTCATTCTGTTGACAAGTGTCCTTCGATGCAAAGAAGTTTTAATTTCAATGAAGTTCAATTTATTTATTTTTTCTTTTGTTATCTGTACTTTGTCATATCAAGAAATCATTGCCAAATTAAATATCATAAAGCTTATTCCCTGTATTTTCTACTAAGATCTTTATAGTTTTAGCCCTTATGATTGGGTCTTTTACTTATTTTGAGTTAATATTTGTATATGGTGAAAGGTAAGGGTCCAACTTCATTCTTTTTGCATGTGGATATCCAGTTTTCCTAGCAGCAATTGTTGAATAGGATATCCTTTCCCCATCAAATAGTCTTGTCATTCTTGTCAAAAACAATTTGACCGTATATATTAGGGTTTAATTCTGGGTTCTGTATCCTATCCCATTAGTCTGTCGTATTTATGCCAGTAACATCCTGGTTTTTATTAATTTATTTTTTTTATTAGAACTATTTTTGGTTCACTACAAAATTGAGCAGAAGGAACAGAGATTTCACATATGGTCACTGACCCTACATATGCATAGCCTCCCCAGCTATCAGAATCGCCTGCCAGAATGGTACATTTGTTGCAGTTGATGAACACATATTGACACATCATTATCACTCGAAGTCCATGATTTATATTAAAACTTATTCTTGGTAGTGTACCTTCTGTGGGCTTGGACAGATGAATAAATGATATGTATCCACTGTTGCGGTATTATATAGAGTGGTGTCCCTACCCTGAAAATCCTCTGTGCTTCCCCTATTCATCCCTCCCCTTACTCCTAATCCATGGTAACCACTGATCTTTTAACTGGTTCTGTAGATTTGCCTTTTCCAGAATGTCGTATAGTTGGAATCACACAGTATGTAGCCTTTTCAAATGGGCTTCATTCATTTAGAAATATGCATTTAAGATCCCTCCATGTCTTTTCTTGGCTTAATAGCTCATTTTTTTTTTTTTTTTAGCACTGAATAATATTCCATTATCTGGGTACACCACAGTTGATCTATCCATTTACCTACTGAGAGACATCTTGGTGGCTTCCAAGTTTTGGCAATTATTAATAAAACTGCTATAAATATTCATGTGTAGATTTTTTTTCTGGGCATAAGTTTTCAACCCATTTGGATAAATACCAAGGAACACAATTACTGGATCATATGGTAAAAGTATGTTTACATTTTAAGAACTATCTTCCAGAGGAGGTGTACCATTTTGTATTTCCATCAGCAATGAGTGAGAGTTCTTGTTTCTCCATACCCTTGCCAGCATTTTGTGTTGTAAGTGTTCTGGATTTTGGCCATTCTAGTAGTTGTATAGTGATATCTCATTGTATCTCATTGTTGTTTTATGCACTGTTTTGGTATCTTAGCTTTATTGTAAGTTGGCATCAGGAAGCATGATACCTCCAACATTTTCTTCCTTCTCAAGATTATTTTGGTTATTTGGGGTTCCTTGAGCTTCCACATGAATTTTATGATAGATTTTTATCTATCATATTTTCTGTGAGAAAACAAAGTTATTTGGATTTTGATAGGGATTTCATTGAATCTGTACATTGCTTTGTGTAGTATTGACATCCTAACAATATAAAGTCTTCTAATCCATGAACATGGGATATCTTTATACTTATGCATGTCTTCTTTAATTTCTTTCAGCAACATTTTATAGTTTTTGGCATATAGTCTTTTGTCTCCTTGTTTAAGCTAATTCCTAAGTATTTTATTCTTTTTGATGTTTTTATAAATGTAATTGTTTTCTTAATTTCCTTTTTGGATCATTCATGGTTAGTATATAGAAAAACTGATTTTTGTGTATTGATTTTGTATCCTATAATTTTTCTGAATTCATTTATTATTTCTAACTGTATGTGTATATGTGTGTGTAATCTTTATGGTTTTCTACATATTAGATCATGTCATCTGCAAACAGATAATTTTACTTCTTCCTTTCCAATTTGGATACTTCATTTCATTTTCTTGCCTTTTGTTCTTACAATACCCTGTTGAATAAAAGTGGTGAAAGTGGGCATCCTTATCTCATTCTTGATCTTCGAGGAAAAGCTTTCAGTCTTTCACCATTGAGTATGATGTTTAAGCAGTTTTTTAAAAAATCTTAAAAAGAGGAGGGATTTTGAAGTCCTGGGACCTATTTAAAATTGTGTTTCTCTGTGTTCTCAGCACCTAGCACAGTGTCTGGCACGTAGCAACTACTGAATGAATGGATTTTAAATACCCACAGTTTCTCAAAACCGAATGAGCTGAAGGCACTGCTGAATGAAGTGTGAATTTGGGACTCATGAGGTTGGCAAGGGTTGAAGGGTAACCGTAAAGGTGATAAGGAGTCATTCATTATCTGCTGACATGGAGCAGGTGTTGGTCCCACATTACAGGCAGCATGGTCACTTAAATCTTAGTAAACTTTGCTTGGATAGTGTGCTTTTTAGAGAAACTTCCCTGGTGAAGTTATTTTCCCCTTCCCTCTGTTAGCACTTAGCAGCTGGAAGAAAGTAACATATGCTGTATCTCTTTGTATTTATGACTACTGAATTAATAACTTCAGTCCATTGGATGCAAAGAAAACAAGTGAAATGCTATAAATTATAGATAAAAGTTGTTCATGCTAATAGAATGTGTAACATATGCCTTACTTTGGCACAGCTTTGAAATAATGTGAATGATTTAAAGGGCTTAGTCTCTTTGCCTTCATTTTAATTTAGAATAGTTGGAAAGCATCAAGTCACCACCATTTCATTAGTAATGCTATGCTTTTCCATTGGAACTTAAGCTCTCTCAACTTGGAGCAGACAAAAATCCTGATTAGCTGTAGTCTTAGGATGGGAAAGTCAAGTGATTACGTTCAGTGTGTTGGCATCTCTCTTCATCTGGACTTCTAACAAGCAAGTTCCAAATATGAACTGACACGTCCTCACTTTTTTCCTTTAACAAGGGTCCTCTGACTTATAGATTTAAAAAAAAAAAAGGAATTCTGTAAATGTAGAACTTGCTGATAACTTTGAGAGGCAGCAGGATATAGTGGATAGAGCAGGGCTTTCTGTCTCACAGAGGGATTTTTCTGGCTGCTAATAAGGAAACCCTATAGTGTGTGCAAAGAGGGGCTATATTCTAAGAATATAAGGCTGCCTTACAGGATCCAAGGACAGGAGGGGCCTTGAGGCTCAGGAGGGTCTGGACCTAGGATCTAGAAGCCCTAGGAACTAAAGTCACTCAGTCTGTCACCAGGGCCCCATGGTCTCACCGTCACTTTCCTCTCTGCACCTCCTCCTTCCTTCTCTCTCATCAGCTGGGCTGCCTTTGCTTCTCTATGCTCACAGCCAAGCACATCTGCCTGGCTCTGGCTTTTTATCACTTCCAGATCAAGGGCCAGCAGAGGCTGCCTGGCATCTCAGATTTCTAAATTCCTTGAAGAGAGAATCTGGTTATGTCACCTTGAGTCAGATCACCATTCCCAGTTCGTTCATTTATTTATCCAAAAAGCTTTTCTTGAATGCCAGGAAGCACTGGGGATGCAGCCTCCCTTCATGGAACGTGTGTGTTTGGGGGAGCAGGGAAGAGAGAATGAGAGAGCGTGAGTGAGAGAGCGTGAGTGAGAGAGCGTGAGCTCATTTTTGGGGGGACTGACTTGGGAGTTGCAGGTTTTTAGAGAAAGAGAAGTATGGCTCGGGGTTCAGATAGACCTGGGTTCAAATCCCAATTCCTCTCCTTACCAGCTCTATGTTACTTTGAGCATATTAGATACCTTTTTCATCCCCAATTTTCTCCCCAGTAAAATGGGAACAATTTTTTCTAGGGTAGTTAGAAGGATTAAAATGAAAGGATAGGTGTGAAGCCATGAGTATGGTGCCTGCTACGCAGAGTCAGAATGCCGCCCCTCCCTGGTTGTGACCTTGAGCAAGTTCTTTAACCTGCCTGAGATGGTTTCTTCACCTATAAAATGAGAAAGGCTTTCATCTACTTCACGTGCTTATTATGAGCATTACGTCATGTGATATGCACCAGGTCACAGGGAATGTGTATGTAACACACATCCAGGGTGATAGTTGCTCCTCTAGTTCTTGTTAATCATCAGTTTTTTCCCCTCTGTCTTCTAGTTCCCATTTGGCCGACGCTTGCCTTGTGACATCTACTGGCATGGAGTTTCATTTCACGACAATGACATATTCTCCGGCCAAGTGAACAAGTTTCCAGGTATCTGCTGTTATTGTTGGCATCAAAAAATGTTTCTAGGCTGTGTGAGGGCGCCCTCTTTTACAAAAACAAGGTGGCATTTGAGCTCAGACTCAAGGACTCTTAATTGGGACTTGCTGCCTTTACCACTGTGGCGCCCTGACCTTGGGAGGGAAGCTAACGCAGAGGTCATCAGGTTTTGACCCACCAACAGGTTAAGGACTGGAGGTTCAAAAATAGAAAGACAGGCTTTCCTGGACTGATTTCACCAGTGGAAGAATATGATCTTCACCTTCTGAGTTATATTATGAAGATGTAATGAGGAGACTATGTTCTCAAAATGGAAAAAAAAAAAAAAAAGACCACTTCACATAAATTATTTGCCAGGAACAGAAGTACTAAAATTCTAGGAATATGCCACAAAAATGAGGTTAGCAGCTTCTGCTTTCTTTACATATCATCCCTGGAGGTACCATTTTTAAAACCAGATACACCAGTCTCCGTGTTGGGAATGGCAGTTTGAGACAGTGCCTACCTTAGACCTTGGGACCTTATCCCAGTGAGGCTTTCCAATAGGGGGACTCGTTCCATGAAGGTGTCAGGGCCAACACTTTAAAACACCTCCTCCCTCCATTCCCATCCTCCCCATATGCCTTTCCATTTTATTTTGAATCTCTGCCACCCTCTTCTGCTATGAATTGCTATTCATTATTTTTAATGGCTCCGTGAAGAGGGTGGTTAAGGTGAGTGGGTGTGCTCCCAGAGGAAGGAACATTTGGCCCAGTGGGGGTGGCAATGGCAGCCAGAGGGTCTTTCTCTTATATTCAGAAATGTTAACATAATATGCACAAACTGTATTATAATTTGATAGTGAATAAGTTTTTTAAAAAGGGCGTCACCCTGAATCCCATCCCTCATTTAACAAACAACAATGTGAATATTTCTGTATTTCCTCCCAAAACTTAACCATATTTTTGTATTGCTTTTATACAGTTGCAGTCAGAGTGTGGTTGCCTAAATACAAGTGTTTTCTCCTAGCGTGATATCATTTATGCTTATTTTTAAAAAGAGATTCTGTTTACCCTTTTTCTAGGGGGCCTTTGGGCTCAGCTGGGAGAGCATGTGACTCTTGATCTCAGGGTCAGGAGTTTGAGCCCCATGGTATGCATAGAGTTTACCTAAAAAAGAATTTACTCTCTTTCTTTGGCATTCTATGCCATGTCCTTAAGAAACCACATCTCAGAAAACCCAGTAGCTGTACACGATACACTGGCGAGTTACACCATGTCCGCCGGGGGCGGGGGGGTTCAATTAAGTGTTCAGACTCTCATGGGCCTCACTTGGCTCAGGTTCACTTATAAGGACATAGGGCAGGAAACATGGCCTGCCAGCCAGTCAGGTCAGGTATTTCTCTCCAGCGATGTCTTTGCACGGGTGCCAGAGGCTAGACTCACCCCTCAAGCAAAAGCTCGGAAGTATAGGGAGACAAGACCTACATTGGTGGACGTGGGTCTGTCTTGGCTTAGATACCCCTCAAGAGCTTTCTCTCACGTCGCTTCTCCAAAGCATAGCTTCCAGGGCCCCCAGCAGGGCCCTGCTGTGTTACGAGCATCCTTACATCAGGCAAGCCTGGGGCTAAGGCTTCCTACCAGGTATTTATGCAATTTGCCCATCAGGGATCATTTCCACCATATGCTTTGTCATCTGGTAACATGGCTAACTTTTCTACCTTTATTGGTTTCCGGGGGAACAGAGCTAGAAAATTAACCCACAGTTAGAGAAGAGGGAGGGTTCTATTGGAGAGCAAGAAGGATTCTCGTAGCCCGGGTTCTTGCACACACAGTTCAGTGGGATAACTATTCTTTTCTGTCTTGCTGCTCATAAAAGGTGACTTTTTGATGCCCCTCGAAGAACTTACTGGGGTACTGGGAGAACATAATTTGAAAGAGAACAGTTCTTTCAATGAGGACAGAGTTCCTAAGACATGAATCCTCGAATGAGGCTTCATTTATGTTTTCCCCTCTTTGCTTGTGCCTCATCTCATGACTGTGAGTAAAAAGAAGTCATAGGTATGGCTCTCCTTTTGGAACACAAATTAGAGAAAAACACCCTCAAAGGACTAATTTCATTAAAGGACTAGTTTCATCATCAAAAATGATAGAAGAATATTCATGCCAAAGAAGCAAGTTCGCTCTAGCCCGCATCCCACATGCCAGTGACTGGAACATATAATTTTCCACTTTACCAACAGCAATTAATTAGTTCTAATGACAAAGCAGGCTCTCGAACCTCTAGGCAGAGAGGCAGTGTGGCTCCATCCTCTCCCTATGGAAGACAGTAATTCTTCGCTATGACATGATTCCAGAAGGGCCTGTCCTTTGGCTCTAGTTTGGGTCCAGACTTATCTTCTGTCTCTCCTGTATCCCCTTATCCTAGTGGTGCGTCTCCTATGCTAGTAAGTTCGCTTGAATGTGGCAGACAGCTCTAAATGCAGCCCATGCTGAAGAAACTGAAAACTTCTGGAGATGCATATGGAAGCGAGTTACTTTGTTTGTGTCAGCACATTAGATTTTAGCCACTTTTCTATGACGAGATCCTCCAAGATGGGTTATTATGTCTTAACATGATGAATTAAGACTTTCTATAAAAATAATCTGATTTGGATACATCTTTGCTTTAGAAATGTCCCAAACTGTCAATTCTCAGCTCCCAAGCCACAGTTTTTTGCTGACTTTCAGGGTCTGAGATGTGTGGCAGCCCATGGCAGGGGTGGGGAGGGGACGTTCTGGCAGAGAGGGAGAGGGCCCCCGCCAGGAAGGTCCCCGACAGCTTGCGTGCGGTGGAGCACTTGCTGTGCTGCGTGGAGGGTACACAGACAAGGAGAGAGGCATGTAGGGAGGGAAGTCAGATACAAAATAAGTGCCAGACAAAGGAAATCTGGGGTGCCCTGGGGGCTTGGAATGAGAACACATGACCCAACCCAGATCTGCCTGGGGGACAAACAGGGTGGGAGACCCAGGAGAACATATGAACTGAGCCTCCAGGGCTGGACGGGCCTGACCTCCCCCCAAAATGTGGGAGCAGAGTTGGCACAAAGACTTAGGGTGTTTATTGCTCATTCGGCGAAGGGCAAGTGGCCCGTGATGGTGACAAAGGGTCAGGTGTGAGAGGGGCCATGGAAGCGAGATAAGCAGGGACCTATGGATAGCATCCTTATAGTCCGAAGGTCGTGGGAGCCACTGAGACATTGTTAGGCCAGAGAGCGACATGAGCCAGCTTGCATTTTTGAAAGGCCTGCCAGAGGGATGCGTTGGAGGTGGGTGGAAGGGTGGAGGCAGGAGACAGAGGGAGAGTTGAGAGGCGGCACCACAGGATCCAGGCAAAAGATGAACTCCTCAGTGGCACTGGGAACAGAGAGAAGAGAATGGATCCGGAAGTAGTTATTTGTCATTGGGTGGTTGGAATGTGCTTTTGCCAAAAATCATTGTTGTCACTGGTGTTTGGATTTCATAGTGCTCTCGACATAGCTCAGATTTTGTTTTGTATTTGTTTTTGTTTTAAACTGGGTTAAACAGGTCTGCGTGGTAAGCCCCAGGATCAGACTGTTGCCCTCTCACCTAGTTTCACAGGGCTGGAGACCACCAGGCCTGGAGACTCCGGGGTAGCAGAGAGAAGAACCCAGGCCCAGGAGTGGCAGGAGGCAAGTTCCTGGTGTGGGAAGCTCCAAGCTGAGTTAGGGCATTTTCCCAGTTGAGAGGGGACCTGCCACCATAGGGACATCTGGAGACAGACCGGTTGAGAACCCCGGGTAGGCGGTGAGCCTCAAAAGAACCTGTAAGTAGGCAGCGGGAGGGCAGGCACCGGGCTCAGGTCCTAAGTAGGAGGACCCTACCCATGCTGGGTAGTCTTGGGTGGAACAGGGAGGAACACAGGCGGGAACAAAGCAAAACCATTGCTGAGGCAGCTACTCAGGCACCAGGAGCAAAAGACAGGTCACCAAATTCCAAGGCAAAGCAATCAGAAAGCTTCAGAAAGACAGTTGAAATCCTCCTTATCTAATTGGAGTACAAAGTCAGGGTCAAAGACTGCCTTGTTCCCAATCTCCAGGGGGGCTGATGAAAAGACCTAGAGCTTTCGGCTCAGGTCAGAGTGTGTCCCAAAGCCTAGGGCCAGGGTCATGGGAAGGGGTCAGATGCTGCAGTAATGGGGAGAAGGCGGCAGAGCCTGCCAATGACCTCTCTTTTCACATATTTGCTCCGGGGACATGTGCTCTGGGTCAGCTAGAAACCTACTACTCTCGCCAGCTTCTTCCCGAGAGCCGATGACACTCCCCACTTCTGTCTCTGAGCCACCACCAGAAGCCAGGATGGCAGCAGCTTCCATGTGGGGTGGAGGGAGTGGTCGGGTGGGAACACAGCCTAGATATGGTGGCGGAACAAAGGTTATGGTGGTAAGCGGATCGACGGAGGTCTACACTGGGGCCTCCTGGAGACAGGCATTTAGGCAGAGGATGAGGGTGAGTTGGTCAGAGCCTGTGGGTCAGAACTGTCTGGGAAAAGTAGCTGTTGGATTGCAGGGAGTCTCCGGAGTTGGTTGTTTTCAGCAGAGAGGGAGAAGGAGGGGCAGAGGGAGAGAGAGAGAGAATCGCAAGTGTGCACCACGCCCAGTGTGGAGCCCGATGCAGGGCTGGATCTCACCATCCTGAGATCGTGACCTGAGCTGAAATCAAGAGTCAGACACTTAACTGACTGAGCCACCCAGGTGCCCCTGGACATGGATTTTCACAAAACTTTTCTGGAGCGTTCAAGCCACACTTATACTCATAGCCCTCCTGTCCATGTTGTGTGAGTCTGTCTAACCTGCTGAGGGGTTTCTAAAAGAGAACCTTCCCCTGTCACAAGGTCATTAAAGTGTAGAAAGTAGCACAACGGTCAGGAGGCTTCATCTACTTGGTGTAAGGTGCTGTACTATAGTTGGTTATGAAGGATTTCAGTCTAGTACGATAATAAATTGTTGTCAAAGAAAAGGAAAAAGCTTCAAAAACAGTTGAAGTTTTTGTTTTGTATATTTGGTGTTTAGCTCCAGTGTTTATAACTCAAAAATTCTAATGTGGAGGGGACTAAAAGGAAACATCTAGAATTTTCCGGGTTCATAATTATTTCTTAGGAAGCTCAGAGGAGTGTCCTCAGTGAGTTTTTTTTAATATTGAAGAGTCCACATCAGAGCAGAGTTTATTAGTGCTTTTCAAGCTCCTTTATTTCTTATTTAATTCTTCTCTCTATCCTTCTAAACAAGAACCGAGAAGCTGGGCACTGACATCTTAAATCTGCAATCTTCGGATTTATTGCTTTTTTTAATATGCTGAGGGAAGCAAGAAATAGGTTATTAAAACCTTCATTCTCAAATGTTCACCCTTCACTTCCTGAACATGGGAATTTCAAGAAATCTCATTCATTCTGATTGTGCCCATTTGGAATGTGTGATAATTCGGACATGCCAGGCTGACACGAAACTTTCTGCTTTCTGTTAAAAATAACTTCGCTAAGCCCGTTCCTTGTGTCAGTGATGGCACTATGTTGCCTCTCTCCAGGTGAAGGCCAGTTCTCGTCTCCATTTTCAGTGGTGATATTTGCCTTAAGAGATAAGCATGCTAAAACTTAAAAGAATTTTTACCTATTTGCTTAAAATTTGCTAAGGTTATATAGTTTCTTCTCTTGTCAGAGTTCTTAAAGATGTTCTAAGAAAAAAAGATCCACCGTGTTTTAAAAATGTTTTATAAGTGAGTCATTTTAATCCCCTCTGGGCAAATTAATGAGGCCTTATCAATGTTATTGTCAGTACTTACAACTGAAGAACTCCTACAGATTCCATTTTCTCCCCCGAAACTATAAATTATGCTGTGATATCCTTTCTACTTTCTGTCCTTATTTCAAGGAGACAGATTTTATGCTGAAAGCTGTGTATTTTTCTATTTTATACCTTGAATACTCATGAAAGATTAAAATAAAGCACCTTAATTAAGTTTCTCATAATGTAAGCAGAGTCCACTAGATGATATTCTTGAGGGTATAAAATGGAAGCAGTCCTTGAAGTATGGTTGGTGGCCCCAAATTAAAGAGGACATTAAATTTTAAGTGCAAGATGTAAATGCCTGTCTTTATCCATTATCGAGGGGACTAACCAAGAATGGAATAATAAACTAGCTGAAAACCCGTTTCTTCCAATTGATGCTTCTTTTTTTATTTTTTAAGATTTTATTTATTTATTTATTTGACAGACAGAGACCACAAGTAGGCAGAGAGGCAGGCAGAGAGGGAGGAAGGGAAGCAGGCTCCCCGCTGAGCAGAGAGCCTGATGCGAGGCTCGATCCCAGGACCCTGGGATCATGGCCTGAGCCAAAGGCAGAGGCTGTAACCCACTGAGCCACCCGGGTGCCTCCGATGCTTCATTTTTATAAGGAGGAGGAAAAACTCTCTGTCTATTACCTCCAGTTTTTCATTAATCTGGTAGGTCTTTCCAACCCATGATTCCCCTCTGTGGGAAACAGCTCCTACCTGTCTGCAAAAGCGAATATATCGCGTGGGCGGTTTTCAAAGTCCCCGATCATGGGTGTCTTATAGTTAGCAGCTCTCTGCTGTTCAAACCTCACAGCTTCTCTTCTCCCTAGGCATGACGGAGATGGTGCGTAAAATTACTCTGAGCAGAGCCGTGAGAATCATGCAGAATCTCTTTCCTGAGGAGTACAACTTCTATCCTCGCTCTTGGATTCTGCCTGACGAGTTCCAGCTCTTTGTTGCTCAGGTAGATGACATTCTGTCCCCGGGACCCTTGAATTATGTCATGTTTGCAACTGTGTCCTGGAAGTTGGGTCCTGGGTCCTGTGTACTGGGAGCTGGGGTGGGTAGCGGGGGTGGGGGGTGTCCTTGGGAAGCTGTGGCTAGCCAAGGGAGTGTCCCAGCAGTACACTTGCTGTGAACAGGTGGGGTGACAGGTAGGCAAGCAGAAGAAGTGCATCTTGACACGAAGAGACTGGCCTGGGGCTGAGATTGGGAGTTGGGTCATGGAGCCGGTGTTTGGAAAGCAAGGGAGACAGGGCTGGAGCAGGTGGCTGAGCCCATCAGCAGACTGGGACCATTCAGGCGAATCCAGGGTGGTCTCCCCGGCTTCCTGTGGTGTGAAATGTGGGAGGTCGGGCTCTGTTTCAAGGCTCTGGAGGAGTCTGATACACTGTGGAGGTGGCCTGGGGGAACCGTTTAAGTGTCCTGCTTTAAACCTGTTCTGGACTCCATTTTCTAATCGCCCATTCCATATCAAAGCAAAATGTTTGAGCATGAAATGCGTTGGGGCCTTCACCACTGACTGTTTGAGACAGTACCAGTAGGGAAACTGAATTGAGGATTGCCGTTTTTCATTTAGGACCCTTTTCAAAGCCTTTGCCTGTGGGTTCCACGGTCCATACCACACCTCTGAGGGTAACTGTATCTTATTGTGATGCGATAGGGTTCATACCATTTACTGGTCCTACTGTGTTCTGGGCATTGTGCCAGAAGCTTAATGTTATTTCTTTCAATCCTTACAGCAATCTTGTCAAGTCGGTTGTATTATAATCCCATTTTGTGGATGAGGAAACAGACTTTGATAAGCAAGGTGACTTGCTGGAGAAGTGAAATTTAATCCTAGAGCTGATTTCAAGACCTATGGATTTTTTTTTTTTTAAGATTTTACTTATTTATTTGAAAGAGAAAGAGAGAGTGAGAGTCTGAGCAGGTGGGAGTGGTAGAGGGAGAAGGAAACTCCCCGTTGAGCAGGGAGCCTGATCCGGGACTTGACCTTGGCATCATAACCTGAGCTGAAGGCAGATGCTTAACCCATTGAGCCACCCAGACACCTCAAGTCCTTTGCTTTTTTTTTTTTTTTTTAAAGATTTTATTTATTTGTCATAGAGGGAGTACAATGCTTCACTCCTGTGCTTTTTGTCAGCTGTCTTATTGCCTGCGTGTTGCTTTGGTTTTAATATTAAATGATAAAACTTGTAATAAAATGATGATTTATTAAGCACACAAAAAAACTTGAAGTGGCAGTTTTTTAAAAGGAAGCTCTCTATGGGGTGGTGGTCACATGGGTTTATACATTTCTTGAAATTCATCTGATTATTAACCTACAATGCATTGTATTGCATGCAAATTATGCTTCAGTAAATTAAAAAAAACACAAACTCTCTGCGGCTCCTCATACTCACCCCTCAATTTCCCACGTCTGTGGCTCTGCTCACATCCTTGTCCCTGTGTGGAATATCTTGCTGTCCCATTTCCACAACTCTTTGTCTAACTATCCCGTGAATTTAAATGAGATAAACTGTGCCTTCTGTCAACTGTGCCTTCAAAATCAGATACGTGAGAACTTTTCCATCAACCCCTAAGTTCCTCTTGTGCAACCGCTGGTCGGTCTGTATTCTCATTCGAGATTTGTTTTGCCTGTAAATGGAATCATTCATATATATATATATATATATCTCACATCACACACTTGAGTCTTTGTTTCTCTTTCTGAATTACATTTTTGAGATTCATCTTTGTTTGTCGTATAGTTTAGCCATTTGTATTTTTATTGGTGAGTAATATGCCATCGTATGCATTTGCTTTTCCATTTCCCACTTGACGGGCATTTGGGTCATCCCCAGTTTGGGGGTTTTATAAATAAAATGGCCATGACTGATCACATGCAAGTCATTGATTGAAAACCGTTGATCACATTGTGATCAAATGTTTTCATTTCTTTTGGGTAAAACCTACGAGTAGAATTTTTGGATCATATGGTATATGTATGTTTAACCTATAAGAACTTGCCGAACTTTTTTTCCAAAGTGGTTATACACCGTCACCAACAGTGTGTGAGAGTTCTGTTTGTTCCACATCATCGCCAAGCCTTAGTATTGTTAGTTTTTTGAATTTTAGACATTCTGGGAGATGGGTAGTTGTGTCTCTCTGTGGTTTTAATTTACACCTCCCCTATGACCAGATGTTGAGCATCTTTTCATATGCCTTTTGGCCATTCGAATGTCTTCTTCTGTTGAGTGTACAGTCAAACTTTTGCTCATTTCTCTGGGCATTTTATTTTTTAAGTTGTAGGTTCCTTATATATTCTGGGTACAAGTCTTTTATATGTGTATTGTGAATATTTTCTCCCTCTTTTCATGTTTTAACTCTGCCTTTTGAGGAATAAATGTTTTTAATTTTGGTGAAGTTGAACTTACCATTTTTTTTCTTTTATAGTTTGTGCTTTTGTGTGATATCTAAGGCATCTTTGACCAATTAAAGTGAAGATTTTATACTTTTTTTTTTCTAGAGGTTTGTTAGTTCTAATGTTTGCATTTAGGTTTATGATTCATTTCTTTATTTTTTTTATTTTTAGAGATTTTATTTATTTATTTGACAGAGATCACAAGTAGGGAGAGAGGCAGGCAGAGAGAGAGGAAAGCAGGCTCCCTGCAGAGCAGAGAGCCCAACACTCAGGTTCTGATCCCAGAACCCTGAGATCAAGACCTGAGCTGAAGGCAGAGGCTTAACCCACTGAGCCACCCAGGTGCCCCTTTATGATTCATTTCAACTTAGTTTCCGTGTCTGGGATGTATCAGTGTTGAAGTTTACTTTGTTTCATAGTGATATTCAGTTGCTCAGTGCAGTGTCTTGTAAGGATGATGATCTCCCTCATTGAATTAATTACCTTGTCAATCTTGTTGAAAACCAGTTGACTGTATGTGTTTGGTCTGTTTTCTTCCATTCATGGCGCATTACTCTCATGCTGATACTGCATTTTATCTTGATTACTCTAAGTCGGAGTCAGTCTGGAAATCAGGTAGTGCAAGTCTTCCCACTTGTTTATCATCATAATTGTTGTGGTTATTACAGTGTTTTTGCATTTCCCTATCAGTTTTATGACCAATTTGCCCATTTCTACAAAGCAGCCCACTGAGGCTTGGGTTGGGATTGCTTTGAATCTACAGATCAGTGTGGAGACAGTGGACATCTTAACAGCGTCGACTCATCTAATCCACAGCTTTTTTCTCCATTTATTTAGATCTTCCTCAGTTGACTTCAACAATGTTTTATAACTTTCAGAGTACTAGACTTCCCTAAGAAGTTTTGGTTTTTTATGCTATGATAAATGGTATTTTTTGAATTCCAGTTTCCTATTGTTCATTGCTAGTATGTAGACATCCAGTTGACTTTTTACTTTTGAACCTGTAGTGTTTGACCTTGCACAAGTCCCTTATTAGTTCTACAAGTTCTTTTTTTGTAGATTTGTTAGGTAATTTGTTTCTCTCATTTATCTGTTAGGTCATTTGTTTCAACACTTATCTGAGTTGTCCAATTTACTGATGGAAGTTTTAAAAAACAGTATTTCCTTACTTTTTAATGTCTATGAGATATATAGTGATCTCCCCATTTCATTGCTGATATTGGTAATTTGCTTTTCTTTTTCTGAGCCGAAGGCAGACGCTTGACAACTGAGCCACCCTGGTGCCCCCTACGTTTTCTTTTTCTTTCTCTCTTTTTCTTTCTTTTCCTTCCTTCTGGAGTTGTTGGTGTGGCATCTGGTAAATGTCAATTAGCTCAAGTTGGTACTTGGTACTGTTCACATATCCCTTACTAATTTACTGCCTACTTGTCCACTCAGTCACTGAGAGGGTATGTTGAAATTTCCAGATCTCTATGTGGACTATTTCTCCTTTTAGTTATATCTGTTTTTGCTTCATGTAATTTTGAAGTTGTTGTTAGCTTGATGATTTGACTCCATTAGGAGGTAAATTTCCTTGTCCTGAAATTTACTCTCTTTGATATTAATACAGTACCTCCAGCTTCTTTTGGCTTAGTATTTGCATGCTATATCTTTTTACCTTTCTTTTACTTTGAACCTATTTGCATTTTTAAAGATTGCTTCTTGTTGACATCTTGTAATGGGGTTATGATCTTTTATCCAGTTTGACAATCCCTGCCTTTTAATTTGTATGCTTGCCCACTTAAATTTAGCGCAATCATCAATACTGTTGGTTTCAAGTATGCCATCTTCCTATGTCTTTACTATTTATTCTATATGTTTGGATTAATTGAGTATTTTTGGTGTTTTGTTTTATCTCTTCTTTAGGCTTACCAGCTATGCCTCTTTTAAAAAATGTTTTTAGTTTTTGTCTTAGCCCTAGAATCTAGGGTTTACAATCCATCTTTAACTTGTCACATTTACCTTTAAGTATTACATACTTCAAGTAAAGTATATGTGCTTCACAACAGTATACCTCTATTCCCATCTTCATCCTTTCTGGTATTATCATATAGTTTGCTTTTATGTTATAAACCCCACAATATAGTGTTTTTATTTTTGCATTGAAAAGTCAATTATCTTGTAAGGAAACTGAAAAATGAGTATTTGTCTTGCATACTCACCTATATATTTGCATTTCCAGTACTCTCCCTTCCTTTAAATAGTTCTTGGATTCCATCTAGGAATTATTTTCCTTCAACTTGAAGAATTTTTTTAAACATATTTTTTTGTAGTACAGATATGCTGTTCTCCCAGCTTTTATTTAAAAATGTCTTTATTTTACCTTCAGTTTTGAAACCCTTTTGAGATAATTATTTAAAAAATAATTACAAAGATAGTATATAGAAGGGGCCCCATGTTACCTTCATTTAGCTTCCCCTAACGTTAACATCTTTTACAAATACCGAAGCTGGGAAATTAACATTGATATAATATTACTTAATAATCTATGCACCTTATTTGCATTTTTATATTGTCCTGCT